CTACTAGGAGCAAAGGGCATCGCTACTAGGAGCAAAGGACGCTACTAATGGTTAGAAAGAATGGACCAGATTCTAATCACCAAGCTTCCGCACATGTCAGATGTGTCTTGGCCCCATAGTATTCGAAAGGCTGCTTCACTTTCGGACGTCTTGATTTGTATTTTCAGATCTCAACCTCTGCAGGCATTCATGTAGCCGCAGTCCACATCGCTTCTTTGTTGGGATGCGAAGAAAGCTGTGCCTCGGCAATTCTTTTGGGTCTCAGTTGTCTTCGCCTTCGGCAAGAGTACCATGACTGGTGTCCTAACGGGAACATTTCTCGGCTGTTTGTTCTGCAGCTTGTATTTTGTGGTGTTCTCAAGTGTGAGTCAGTTGGGTTGCAGGACATCGGGGCAGGAGATTGTCAGACATCATGAGATGTCAGTTGAGTTATGCTTCCAGATGCCTTCAGGCTCTCCTCAGGTAGCCCAAAGCAAACATCAATGGCTTTCCTAGGGTGGAGGCCATTCAAAATAGGTCTATTCTTATCTTTTTTTCTTTTTTAGATAGTCATTTTGAGTCACTCAACGGTTTCGTCCAAGTCGGTGGCGCGAAACAGCACGAGCGAACAGCTCTTAGGTGAGGAGTTGGACTTTGAAGCTTTGGAGGCTGGACGACTTCCCAAAAGGAACATGAAAAAGAACGAAGGGGACGGAAACAAGAAAAGGTCTAAAGTCGAGTCTAAAGGTTGAATTACGGTAACAACAACATAGAAACAAGATGAAAGGACATCAAGCATTGAAGCGCAACAATGAACAAACATCAACTGGATAGACCAGCATCAGCGAAATCCCCGTGCTCCAAACCTTTTCGAGACATGGTTGCATGATGGATGATGGAATGTTGACGGGTTCAAGCAAAAGATGTCCTCGAATCTTGGCTTCATTTTGGTTAGACGGTTAGACGTTAGGGTGTTATTTTTTGTGCATTTTGTGCAGTGCGTTGCCAGGAGCAGGTGCAGATCTGTCTCTTGGGTCTGGTACAAGGGCTGGAGGCGGATTTTGGAGTGCACGTGCGGTGAGATTCCTTGTTGAACGTCAAACCGTCTTGGTTTCGCTAAGTTCACGAGGCCTGTAATTCGCGCCTGGAGAGACTTTATGTGGACTTTGATTGCTTGGATGATGGTGCAGCCGAAGGTGGGGAGATTGGTCGCTTCAGGGTTTCCCTGCGGGATATACAACTACAAAAGACTTTAACCAAAGACGAGTGCTTTCCAATTAATTTGTGATTGTGTTCTGGCTTTGTTGATAGGCCTGGGTAGGCAAGTCCAAGACCTACGGTGGTCATGGGAATTAGAATTCTTGAATCCAACAACCCTTGCTGGCCCAAAATGCAAAAGCAAGAAGGCGTCTCAACACACTTCGAACTTGGGTTTTCAGTTAGACTCAATTGCCACGTTGGGAAGGAAGGTGAGGGAACGGCAAGGCGAGTGAGTCGGCACAACAGTATTGTTTAAAATTGTTTAAAAGAAAGTGATGGTCAGCAGCTGCAATGCGGAAGGAAAATGGTTTGTGGGAGGTATCATGAACAACCATGAAAGCAAAAAAGGAAGATTGGAGTAACGGCTTGTGAACAGTTCGGCAGGTACACAGTCAGACGTCTCTGACTGCTTCCCATGACATCACTAGCTTCGTTGGCCAGCGTCGTGATGCCATGCGCTGGCCCCCTTGCTGGAAAAAGAACGTGGAAAGCCCTTAGAACCAGGGTGCGACACACACAACAAGCCGTGGTCGGCGCACAGATCAAGCGGTGGAGAAACCGGACCTTTTTCTCTCAAAAGCCGCCTGCACGCGTGCAGGTCGTGCCCTTTTTGGGCATACAAGTGGACCAGGGCTTCAGCCGCAGCGGTGGCGTTGTGGGGTGGGAAGGTGTATGTATAGATGGAGTGAAGTCTGGAAGCTAAGCCGGACAGAGCCAGGCGCTGGCTACCGGCGCTGGTGTGATCCCTGATTTTTCAGGGTTGGGTGGGTTGGATGTAGGTGATGGTGCGTTGCTGAAGGTCAATGTTGAAACCCAGAAGGTGGAAGTCATCCACCGTCTCCAATTCGACGGGATCGCCGAAGAAGTTGTTGTGGATGAGAGTCTGGATGGCGGGATGTGAAAGGAAGTGTTCATTGTGGACAATGAAACGGTTGTCCACGTAGCGGTAGTATGTGAAGTGGAGGGCAGTATGTTGAAGGAGATTGTTGTGGAGCTGGTGCCAGGAGTGTTCGATGAGGGTGATGGCAACGTTGCAAAAGGCAGGTGAGAGCTGGGAGCCAATCCCAGCCCCCCGGATTTGCTTGTAGGTGTTGTTGCGTGCCCGGAAAATGCAAGTGTCAAGTGCATATGCCACAATGGTTGTAATGTCCGCAGTGTGGATGGTGCGTTGTGTGGGGTGGCGTCGGTGGTGCCTGCCGATGTGGGAGTGGTGGAAAGGGTTGCCAGTGGCTTTGGTGTCAACGGTAAGAGTGTGGGTGTAGTTCTGGCGTTGCCATTGCTGAATGAGGGAGTGGACGGCGTCAATCAGGCGATGTTGTGGAACTGAGTTGAAGAAGCCAACAAGGTCGTCGTTGGTGGCGTGTAGGGGAATGTCGGGTGGGGTGTCAGTGAGGTAGTGAAAGTGGGACCACAGTTGTGGAATGGAAAGTTGGCCTGGATGCTGAGGAAGGAGGTGTTGTAGGATGATGTCAAGGGCTCGGCTGGTAATGCGGAGGAGATTGCCGCTCAGGGACTGAAAGTACGAGATAATGGTGCGGCCTTTTCTCCACCGTTTCTTCTCCTTGAGGTGAACGATGCCGTGGGGGATGGTGAAATCTTTTCTGAAGCCCCATTTGTAACGTGTGCGGAGGCTGGGGGGGATGGTGTGTGTTAGGTGTTCGTGGATGTTGGACGATTGGAGTGTTGGCATGGGTGCAAAGAGTTCCGGCGATTGCCAGGTGGCAAGCGCCCTGGCGAAGTATTGGCGGGGGCAGAAAATGTGCAGGCGTTGCAGTTCGTGGTCCGCATGGTGAAGGACAACTTGGTCGCCCAGAAATTCCTGGAGTTGCCGGAGAAGGCGGGCTGTGAAGCGGGGTTGGTGTTTCAAATGGTCGGTATGGAGCCTCCATTGGTGCTGGAGGAAGGGTTCCAAGTGCTGTGTGAGTGAGGGTGGAAGGCCTTGAATGCGCAGCCATTTTGTGAAGGCAGTCTGGAATGAAAGGAAGTATCTGGCCTTGCTGGGGAAAAAAGTGCTGTTCATATTGGCTGCCAGGGGTATGCGGAGGTGCGGTGGTAGTGCGAGTTGTTCAAGGGTGAGGATGTAGTGGTTGTCGATTGTGGGTGTGGTTGGGTCAAGGAGAATGGTTTTCAGTTGGGCGCATGCGCATGGCAAGTCACTGGAGGTCGGAGGGTTTGGTAGCGTACCCTCCCAGGTGCGGTGGTTGTGCAGATGGGCCCGGAGAGTCTTGTGGCCTGCTTCCCGCAAACGGCGAGTAGGCAAGTGGAGCGGGATGGCCAGGTGTTTGTGGTGCTGTATTGTGGTTTTTAGCCACTGTTCACAGTGTTTGGGAAACTGCTCGTGGGCCAGGAATGGGATGGTGAGGGGGATGTTGGGCTTGGGCGGACTGAGGTTGCGGTACTGGAGGGCTTGTTGATGATGTGGAGTGCTCTGCTGCGGCCAGGCTCTTCCAGGTTGGATGCCATTCGTCGGATGGCGTAGACCTCCAGGTCAGTATGCTTGCCGCTGCGCAGTTGTTTGGCTGCTTCAAAGGATGCCCGTGTGTGTTTGGTAAGATTGCGAAGAAGAGTGAGGGAGTGCAGTCGAGTGGAGGTAAAGAGATGTGGTTCGTGAATGGCATGTTGCCGTCTGCGGAGCTTGCGGAAAAGTCGCTTGTGGGTTGCCAGGCGGGAGTAGAAATGAGCGCGGTGTTTGGTGAACTGCCAACCTTGAGCTTTGAGCTTGAGGTGGTGGGAGATGAACGGCCAATTGAGTGGCGGCATCCAGTTGGAAACGAGGTAGTGTTCTTGGATCCAAGCTTGATCGTATGTGTCATGTGAGGAAAGTTGACAATGGGTGTGAAGTGGTGGATGTTGTTGTGGGAATGCCAGTAACGAAGGGACAGTTCTGCTGAAATTGGAATGTTGTTCTGCAATTGTTTGAGTTTTGCCCGACGGTTGTGTTCCCTGTGTGGGATGCCGATGCCAGTGGAGCCGATATAAAAATGGCCGTGTTGGCGGTAGCAGCGTTGTGGGGTGGTGGGGTTGAAGTAGAGTTTGACATACACTGCATTGGAAGAAAGAAAGTTGTGGTAGTGGTAAGTGTGAGGTTGTATGTGGAGGTGTTGAAGTCGTTGACGCCATTGCTGTGAACGTTGGGTAGAGGAAGGGTAGCAAAAGAGAAGGGTGATGTGGATGAGGCCCACAGCAAAGAGGGCCTCGGCACGTTCAATGTATTGGCTGTAATGGATGAGAGTGGAAAGGGCTTGGTGTAAACGGAAAAGTTGGTGGAGTTGGGTTTGGTGCGGCTGGCGTTGACTGGTCAGGGCTAGTCAGCATGCGATGGCAGCCCCCACACTGACAATGTGTTGGAGGCTCTTGATCGAAAGCTTGTTCACGCGAATCAGTGGGAGGCCGTAGCGGGTCGCGGCCTCCTTAAGCTGGTCAGTGGAAACCTTGCTAGTCTGGAGTAAACGCAAGATTTGCTGAGCTGCCTCTTGGACTTTGGGCTCAGAGGTCCGCAT